GCACACCAAGGAGGATGCAAAGGCCAGCAGACTCAAGTGGGACGACTTCTCGGAGCAAGCCTTCGGACGTCAAGGATCGCTGGCCCACAAGGTTATCAAGAAGACCCATGGAGAGCCCAACCCCGTCCCCGAGGCAGGCACGATGGACCGCGCTCTGGTGGGCCAGCCTGCTCTGGAGAGGGTGCTTGCCGACTGCCCCCCCCCCCCCCCTCTGGTCAGACCCCAGTCGGAGCGGCCAGGAGCACCCAGGCCTATGGGCCGTCGGCGAGTGGGTGCCGCCGCCGATCACAGTTGACGACATCAGGCTCGTGGCGCGCAAATTCTCCAAGAACGCGGGCCTTGGCTGGAGCAATTTCCACCCGCGCTTGCTGCTGGAGGTGGGAGAGGACATCCTGGCCAGACTCGCCAGTTTGCTCAACTCCTGGGAGCGTGCACCATACTGCGGCGAGATGTGGACCGTGATCATGGTCTTCTGGCCGAAACCAGATGGAGGGCAGCGGCCCATTGGCCTCATGCCGCTGCTTGCCAGGATTTTGGTCAAGCGTACGCCAGGACTACACAGCCAAATGGGCGAGGCCGCTGGAGCAAACCCCATTTTGGGGGACCTCGGCCTCGAGAGGATGCGACAAGGCGGCCTGGCTCCACAACGTGTTCGTGGCCCATGCCAAGCACGTGCAGGAGGAAGCCGCATCCATCTACATGGGCCTGCAGAAGTACTACGAGCACATCGGCCACGCCGAGCTCAAGGTGGCGGCGCGGGCCTGGGGCTTCGACCTGGGGCTCCTCAGGGCTCTCTGCGCCACCTACCTGGCGCCGCGTCGGGCGCGCATCGGCTCCTGCCTCAGCGAGGCCGTGGCGCCCAACGGCACGGTGGTGGCTGGCTGCTTCTGCGCCGCGGCGCTGGCGAAGCTGCTCCTGTTTTCGGCCCTGCGGGCCGCGGCGCCAGCGGCGCCCATCGCCAGGCTGCTCAACGTGGTGGACGACGTGTCTGCCCACGTTACAGGGCCCCGCTCGATGGTAGCCAAGCAGCTGGGAGCCACCTACAAGGCCTTTTGCGACAAGGTGCGAGAGGCCAACCTACCGCTGAGCAGGCGCAAGACCAAGGCGCTGGCTACAAGCAAGGAGTTGCGCCAGGCGCTGATGCGGCAGCCTGGCTGGGACCTCGGGCCCGACGACTTCGTGGACATGCACGGGGGCCTCGGCGGAGATGCGATCTCAGGCTCGTGCCGCCGCGTCACTACTGCGGCAACAAGAGAGCAGCAGGCTCGGGCTCAGGGCAGGCAGCTCACCAGCCTCTTCCGCCCTGGCCAGGACCGCGCAAGGGTCTACCGAGCAGGCCCCACGGCCAAGGCCACCTGGGGCGCGGCCATCATGGGCGTCTCGAATGGCAGGCTGCGGCAGCTGCGGGCGATCAAGGCGCGAGGGCGCCTGCCCGAGGGGCCGCCTTGGGGTTGGCCAACCTGGCCCAGACTACTGGCTGGAAGCGCGACCCGCTGACCATCGTCACCAGGACCGCGCTCATGGCCTACGTCGAGGTGATCTGGGCTTCGTTGCTGCCCGAGGCGGCAGCCCGCTCCTGCCTGGCTGGGGGCTTGGAGCTCGCCCAGCAACGGCAGCCTTGGCGGCAGGTCAAGGACCCCGTCTGCGCTCTGGCCCTCACCTTGGAGCGCGTCGGCTGGGGCTTCGTGCAAGGCGACCCCTACCTGATCCACGACAGCACGGGGGCCGCCTACGACGTCAGGAGGCACTCTCCTGCCTTTTTTGGCAGCCTGGTGGAGCAGCATTGCCGTGTCGCCATCGGGCTGGAGGAGGTGGCCAGGCAGGGCCCCAGCATGTGGGGATGGAGCATACCACCCTT